CTCCATATCTAAAAGTTTCACCAACACTGATATAAAACAGTCTCAAAATTTCTGCCATGAATCTTTGCCATCAGCCCTCCACTTCACCTCAGGCCCAGGAAATCACTGATCTCACCATAGATTAGCTTTTCCAGTTACGCAATTTCAGGAAAGGGTCTTTTCCTGTCCAGAGTCCACCCAAATAAAAGCGCATACAGTTTGGCGATGCGCTGTACTATTGAATGTCTGGGGCCTAACGCCGCCTCCTTGAGCACCTCTTGTAACTGTAGAGGCCGAAGGTCGCTTGCATGAATCTCATGATATCTCAGTAAATTCAATAATACAGCTGTTCAAGGGTATACATAGTTACACAATTTTTGCCCATGATGTGTACATCTTCTGGCAGACTCTGTATGCTGAATCTGGCTTCCTTCCCTCAGCGTAATATTCTTACAGCTCATTCATGTTGTTTGCATTGGTTCATTTTTGTTGTTGTGTTTCATTTCATGGCTGTCATAACAGCTTACCTATTCACCTGTTGAGAAATAAGTTATCTTTGAGTGATTTTTTTTCCCCAATGCTTTTAGATAATCTGGTTGGTTTTTGTACCATATGTTAAACTTTATTAGAAACTGCCCCATTGAGTTCCCAAGTAGTTGTACCCATCTGTATTCTTACTAGCAAAGCATGAGAATCCCGAGTCCTCAGCAGCACTGCATGTCGGTAGCTCTTTCCGTCTAGCCTCCTAGAGGATGGTTGTTGCTCTCTTGCCGTGGACTTTCCTCATGAAAAGTCAAGTTCAAGTAGTTTTTTCAAGTGCTTATTGGCCATACTCCCTGTCTTTTTGGTGAAGTCTGTTCAAATTTGTGTGAATTTTCAAAATGGATTATTTTACTAGTTGTAGGGATTCTTTATTTTGTACCCTAGTGCCTTATTAAATGCATGGTGTTGTTTCTTTTAATATCTTATGTTTTATTCTTCTAAGAAAAAAGTTATTAATTTTGATTGAGACCATTTTATAATTTTTCCTCCACAGTTTGTTTGCTATTTTAAGAAATCTTTGACTCCCCCAAGGCTATTGGTTTTCTTTAGTTTTCTTTTGTAATTTTGACATGATCCATTCTGAGGTTGTTTTTTTTTTTATTATTATGTTTTATGGGTAATGGGGTAAAAGTTCTTTTTCTCATATAGGTGTCCAGTTTTGTGAGCATCATTTGTTGAATAGACTTTTTTATAAAATTTCTCTATTGAATTGCCTTAGAATCTTTAAGAAAGTCAGTCAACCACATATGTAGAGAACTTTTTAAACTTTATAATTCTTTATTACCATGTATTGAACCCTATGGTATTATAAATGCTAGACAAACATTCTACCACTGAGCTACATCCCTTGTCCTGACCATTAAATCTTAATACAAAAAGTCTATTGTTTTTGCCCATTGTTTTTTAAAAATGAGAGTCTTAAGATTTTATTTATTTTTATTTTAAAAAATTTTATATGTACTTGATATAGGGTCTCACTACACAGCTCGGACTTGCAATGATCCTCCTGTTTTCAGCCTCCATAGTGCTGGGATTACAGGCACCATGCCAGGTCTCAGTGGCTGGCTCAGTGTGCCCAGAGATGGGGCTACAATGGCATGTGGTGCTAGGAATTGAAGCCTGATCCCTACACTTGCCTAAGCAGGGCTTAGTCTGCTGAGCTATCTCACCAGCCCTTAAAAAAAGATTATTATTTAGACTAGTTATTATATAAAATTATAATGTTCAAACTGCCAACATCTGAATATCTTGAAAAATTTAAAAATACAAAATAAAATAGAAGGACTGGCCAAATAGCTCAGCGGATTAAAGCGCCTGCAAGCAGGGACTGGGGTTTGATCCCCAGGCCTGTCATGCTGGCCCCGCCCCCCGAGGTACACTGAGACAGCAAATGAAACTGGGTGTGGTGGTGCACCTGTAATCCCAGCTTTTGGGAGGCTGTAAACAGGAGAATCACTATGAGTCTGATCTAGTAGTGAGATCTTGAGCACCCTGTAGACTTTCTCTAAAAAATACAAAAAAAAAAAAAAAAAAAGTCTCTCCTTTTTTGTACAACAGCGATTTTAAAGTTTTGTTTGTATTTACTGTGGTTTTTAAAAAGGTTGGCACTCGATGGAAAGATGTGGTCTCCAAATGCATTCGCTGCCACTTCCAGCCGCTGCTTCTGTTCTATGCAAACCCAGAAGGCAGAGCAGTGTCTACCGAGGACGCACTCAGGCAGGTTGTCAGCTGGTCACATTACAAATCTGTTGCAGAAAATATGGGTAATTCTTTTTATAAGTATTTTTTGATGTCTTTCTATGATCAAAATCACATAGGAATATTTACATTAGTATAAAGTAAATTCGGAAAATAATTTGAAAGTTGAGTTTCAGTCAAGTAGGGTCAGGAAAATTCCACTGCTTCTTGTAATTTTTTTTTAATTTATGCATTTGATACAGGTTTTCCCTGTACAGCTTAGACTCAGACTTGTAGGCTGTTTCCACCTCCCCAGTGCTGGGATTACAGGCCTGTGCCACCACGTCTGGTTTCAGAGGCTGGCTCCGCATGTGGTACCAGGGATCAAACCCAGGTCCTGGCACTTGCCAGGCAGGCGCTTAGACCATTGAGCTATGTCCTGGGCCCTGCGTCTTGTAGTTCTCTTGAGAGGAACTTTTTCCTGTCACTGCCTCAGAAGCACTTTTAGGAGCGATGAACTGTAATGGTCATGTAGGTACACGAGAGGCTGATAGCTCTTCCTAGCACCAAATACTGAGATTTAAAATGATTTGGTAAACAGCAGTCCAAAGCAGCCTGGCTGTTTTTTGATATATTACAAAGTGTCTGGAAATTCTTAAGGCATTTCAGTCCCCCAAGTTTTAAGTAACTTTGTCACCATTATTAAAAATAACTCAGAAGGATGACTGCAACACGTCTTCTGATGGGAAGGAAGGAAATAATATGTTTTTATCTTTTTAAGGATGTGAAAAACCTGCAATTTATAGGTTGGATAATTCAAAAGAAAATGGATTCAGTGATCAGGCAAAACAGAGAGATAATCAGAAGCTTCAAACCACGAACATCTCATCGTTCAGCCGGAACCACATTCAGACAAGTGGTGGTAGAGGACCAGGTGTGTGCTTAAATTGTTCTGCATTGTCCAGTAGGGTTTCAGCTTTCTCCTTTCCTCAGTTACTGAATCTGTGGTTCTTGGGTATAACTGTACAGAAGAGGGTTGTTAAATTAGCTTTTGTTGACCATGAAAACAAGGTAGGCTTATGCCTTTTAATATTTGTAGTTTTATGAGATCAGTTTGACTTCATGAGCGGTTGCGTCTCTCTGTGCTCTCAGGGATGCCGTAGGCCTGAGGCAGCTGCGTGGTGCCAAAGAAGGCTGTAATGTGGCCTGGCCTTCGAGGAGTTAATAATCAACTTGAAGAATAAAAACCTGAGTTAATAGCATGGCTTGCTTGCCACAAAGCTCTCATGACTGAGCGCGACTAGTTCAGAGTTGCTGCAGCTGAAGTTTGTCCTGACCCTCATTTCTGTTCACCGTCACTGTTGCCCTCGCGTGACTCTTAGTGCTGACGGGCCAGGCTGTGAGGTGGTTCTAAGCTGTGACGTCACAGCACTGGGGGTAGTTATGGTTTAAAAATATATAAAATTCTTTGAAATAATAAAATTTTGAAAGTAAAAGTACACAAAATTCTTGGTTGGGTATTCAGGATGATTTTCTGAGCAACTTATAATTACGTTAGTGAAATAATGTCCATCCATAAATGTAACTCATTTAGTCAAGTGTATTAGTCAAGGCAGAATTAAAAGTTATCAACAAAAAACTGAAAAAAAGACTGAAAACATGCTTCAGTGACGCCTGTGAGCGTGGCCTCAGCTGTGGAGCACGTGCCTGGCTTGCTCAGAGCGCCGTCTCTAACACTGGCAAGAGAAGAATTCTTAATTATACCTGTGTCTTGTATTTTGTTGATATTCTTAGATTACACAATTTATTTATTTATTTATTTTTTCAGTACAAAGCTACTTTAACCCTAGCAACAATTTGTACACTCTCTACTGAGACATCTTGCCTCTCATGCCCAGGTCGACAGCTTTAAGCTACCTGAACTTAAGCTCAGTTTCCTGACTGGAGCGGAAGTAGCAGTTGTGTCTACCTTGTAGCATTATAGCAGTAAGACCCTTAGAGTACCGCCAGGGGCCACGGTGGTAGTTTGGCCTCTTAGTAGCTTACTGCAAGCTTCTTTTTTTCTCTACACTTGCGTTAGGGACTCTACTAGACAGCATGTATCTCCAGTGTCAGGGAAAGTCAATTGAATTTTAAGTTAAGCATAAAGATGAATTCGTTTATTTTTTTAAAAAACAGAATCTTGTGCCAGCCAAATAGCTCAGTGGATTAAAACACCTGCTTAGGTAGATTCAGGAGCCTGGGATATGCCATGCCGGCTCCACCCCCGGGGCGCACTGAGATGGAGATTGAGACTGGGCGTGGTGGCGTGCGCCTGTAATCCCGGCTCTTGGTTTGCTGAACACAGGTGCACCACTACCAGTCCAATCTAGTAGTGAGACCCCATAAACCCTTCCTTAAAATACAAAAATAAATCAATAAATAAAAACAGAATCTTAACATTTCTAGTTCAACTGTTACTTTTGTTGAGCATTTTGAATTCTGATGCATTTCATCCTAAGAATGATTTCTTTTATAGTTAAATTAAGCCACAATGATCAAAGGGAAAAGATAAAAGAAATTTTCAGAGAATGTGCTATGAAAGCCATCGAACAGAAAAACTTACTTTCTTCACCAAGAAGAGATTTGGAAAAGGGACAAAGGAAAGATGTTGGCCAACATAAAGGTAAGAGCTGGTAGTGTTCATTTTAAAGGGAATAACAGGTATTTTGTTTTAAAATGAGTTTTATAACTTTACTATATTTTAATATAGTTATCTGTATATTTACTTATATTTTGTATGTTATATATTTACTATACTTTATATGTTTTTCGGTTATCTTTAATGTATCTACACTAGATCTAAAAGTCCAAACTGTTGCTTATTCTTCTTTAATTCTCACTTGGACATTACTAGTGTTTTTATTTTGATGTTGTAATTTTACTTTTATTATTAGTAGCATTCCTTCATCCGCTGCATTCAGATAATAAGGAAAGTTGGAAAATTGACTGCAGTCTCTGACTCGCCCTCTGTTCTCTGTTGATGTGGCAGTTTTCAGTTCATTGTAAAAGTCTTTTTATGGCTTTATGCTCTTTATGGACACCGCATAATTTAATAGATAGTGATAGACCTTAAACATTGATTTTTGGCAGCGTGCTTTCACTTATGCCTTTGTACATTTTTGTGAATAGTCGAAGAGTAATTCTTTCAGAGGAATTTCTGGGTCAGAGTACACACATTTCTGGTTTGACAGATAGAGCACAGGTGCCCTCCCAAAAGACTGAACCAGTCTGCACTCCACAAATGGTAATTGCGTATCTCTTCCCTCAGCAGCGATTGGTTCTATAACCTTATACATCTTTACCAACTTAAGAGAGGAAAATATTTTATAATGTTTGCTACTTATGATTTAGAATGTTTAGCTTAAGAAAATTGTTTCATTTTAATGATCTACTTTAGAGAGCATTTTTTTTTCAAAAGCCAATTTCTTCTGTAGTGCCTCTTATTAAGTATAAATAAAGATTGGTAAAATGCTTTTTAAATCTGAAAGCAGCAGGATATAATTTAATTTTTGTTATTTACCTATGATGCCTGGCTTCTCAAGTTATTTAGCTTGTGATTATAACATTGCTGTAAGGGGTAGTTAATTTCTGTCTGTAATTATCTTCAGTATTATTGTTATTTAAATTTAGTTGATGAGACCCTCCCACATTTCAAGTCTGGATCACCTCCTGCCCCAAATGGCTTTCAACAGTACGAGAATCCCCATCTGTATCACAGTCAAGGAAGAGGACCCTATAAACACGACCGGATTTCCCATCAGAGTCGAGGTTCTGAACAAATAACTTCAGGCAAAACTCAGATTCTTGTACCTGGAGAGAAAATAACAGGCAAAGTTAAGAGTGACATTGGCACTGGGTATGACACAGACAGCAGCCAAGATTCGAGGGATAAAGGAAGTAGCTGCAGCAGCAACAGTAAAAGCCGAAACCGAGGCTGGAAACCTATGAGAGAAACATTAAATGTCGACAGTGTTTTTAGTGAAAGTGAAAAAAGGCAACATAGCCCAAGACATAAATCAAATGGCAGTCACAAACCTAAAGGTAGCAAAGATCAGAATTCTAATAACTGCCCGAAGGAGAATCCAAAGCAGAAAGGTTTAATGACCATATATGAAGATGAAATGAAACAGGAAGTAGGAAGCAGAACTTCCCTTGAATCGAATGGAAAAGGAGCAGAGAAGAATAAAGTCATTGTGGAGAGTAAAGTTCACGGTGAAAACTGGCAGGTGCAAAGGACCGAGTCTGGCTACGAGAGCAGTGACCACGTCAGTAATGGGTCTGCTAGCTTGGACTCACCCATTACCGATGGAGGTGGGACAGTCACGGATGTCAGCGGTGCTAGCGAACTGCTGTCTCTCAGGTAATGCACAAACTGGCAGAAGATTTTCCCTCATACTCCTCTCTTGTTAGTTATTTGAATTTTCAAAGCTTGGGATCAACTCAGTATAAAGGAAAGATTATTCAAGAAATCTAACTCATTCCAGTTTTTAATGATTGACTGCCTCCAAAAATAACATTTATTTTTAGGAAATTTGGAGAGCACAGAAATACACGGCCATTGTTTCTGTCACTATCAGTTTTTGATGTGACTTCAGGTTTTTAAATATAGACTTCAGTTGTCGTCTCCTCAGTTAGTAAGCTGGTAGTAAGCCATTCAGTCTGCATGGCTCTGGTCTCATTGCTAACATTTAACTCTGATCTGGGACTGTTTTCTCTTTTTTTATTTTTGCATATGTAGTATAGGGTCTCACACAGATTGGATTTGTAATGATCCTTCCTGTTTTCAGCCTCCTAAGCACTGGGATTACAGGCACGCGCCGCTATGCCTAGTCTCAATTGCCATCTCAGCACGCCCGGGAGTGGGGCCAGCATGGCAGCCTGGGGATTGAACCCCTGGACCCTGCGTCTGCCTAAGCAGGAGCTTTAATCCACTGAGCTATCTGGCTGGCCCAGGGTTTTTTTTCACCCTCACAATCCAGTTCCATGGAAGAGATGTTTTCCCTTTAGCAAATATTTTTAAAAATATAGCGAAATAACTGCATTTATGTTCAGTTAATGCATTGTTGAATATAAAAATTAATTACTGTTGATAGTATATTTGAACTTCTTTTTATAACTTCTAAAACCTGCTTCTAGGTTAGTGGCTGGTTGCTTGCCACTTTTTAATCCTTTCAAAACGTATTAGCTGGTACTTGATCACATTCATAAATAAAAAGCTAGATTTACTAAAGTAATTGTTTCCATAAAAAAAATTAAGGTTATTTTTTTCCTTGGTGGGCTAATTTTATGATACTTATTGGTAAGAGGTAGCCAGCAAAAGTAGAAAGCACAGGACTTTGTGACCAAATGGAATCGCATTTTAATTATTGGGCACGTTAGTTTGATTTACATGGCCTTCATCTTCTGTTGTAACATGAAGAACATAAATACTTTTAAATGATGTGAGATATAAATTAAATAAGATACATTAATCCTATAGGATTTTGTGTGGCATAATGTTTTAAAAAGGAGTTTCCTTTTTTTCTTAAACTAATCCATAATAACTGATGTGTTTTTTGTGTTCTCCTCCTCTAGTGACCAAATTAAGGCAGGCAGCATACAGGTAGGACATGGGGACTGTACCTGCCCGCAGAGCGAAGCCCCCTTGGAAGGTAAAAGTTTTATTTAACTGTACCATTGTAGTTGTAGTAAAAAATGGATTGTAGTAATTTATTTTTTTTATTATGAGGTGCCTAAGAAAAAATACTATATGCCAATAAAAATTATTTTTAAATAATTTCTAATATCAAAAATCATTTCTTTTTATTAAGACTGCATCATATTATAATAAAGTAAAAAAAGGAAGAATTCAAACTGTTGTACATATATTTTTCTGTCCATGATGTATTTTTTAACGTCTTTGTTAGCTGAGTGGGATACACTTTCAAGTTCACAGCCTGTTTATATGTACTTTTTAGATGTCTTTGATGTTACAGTACTAAGAGCATGAGAATGCTTGCTTTTCCTGCATAGTTGATGGAACCTGCGAATCCGCTGTCCCCGTAGCAGCTTGCGTTTCGTTTCTGTAGGAGAGACCTTTCACTGCATTACTTTTGGTATATATCCTGACAACAGTGACTTGAAACTCAAATAGGCAGAACTGTCTATCTTTGGGAGCTTATTAGCACTGTATTTTTACTTAAGAGGTGGGACTTTTCTACATTTGCAAAGAAAAAGGATTATAGACTATTGGTGTGTTTTATCTCTACTCTCCAGTTTTGAAATAACAGACTGAGACAGGCAAAGAGTGGTTCATTTTTCCCTAACATAAGAATAGAGATGGTAAGAATGGTCCTACTGTTGGGCGTGGTGGCACACACCTGTAATCCCAGCATTTAGGAAGCTGAGGCAGATGGCTCACTGAGTTCCAGGCCAGCCTGAACTGCATAGTGAAATCCTTTCTTAAAAAGACAAAAACGAAACAAAAGCCAGTGATCCTATTGCTGATAAGCTTATGAGTAACAAGGAAAGAAACTGTGGAGTTCATCCTGGAAGGCTTTTCCTGGATGGGAATGACTACTTCAGCAGTGCGCATAAGGGGACTGGTCTAGAATGGTGTCACACCATAGCAGTGACTCCAGGACCCCTCTGTCCTGTCGTAAGTTTTCTTGCTCATGGTGCGTGTCTAGTGGGGGTCAGCATGGAGTATCTAGGCATCGCTGAGCCCCAGACCAGTAGTGGGGTCGGGGTAGGGGTTGAAGGAGGATTCAACATGGGCAATCATCTGTAAGCTCTTAAAGCTGCAACTCAGAAGTGGCACAGTGCCTCTGCACCTACGTCTCCAAGCAAGGCAGGTCTTACCTGGGCCTTATTTCATGGGAGGTAGAGAAATGCAGCCTTGTTGGGGAACAGAAGGGTTTGTATCACCATAGGAGTTAACACGGTGAAGAAAAGGTGATGAGCAGCATTCTGGAAGAGTACAGTTCCGAGATAATATGTGACCATGAGGCCTTACTGTACGTCATTTGGTAGCAAAACATAGAGGCTTATAAGCAGAAAGTGAGTTTTAATGTATATAGGACACAAGATTGTTATTGGCAAGACATACCCAAGGGGGGCCGGGGAGATGGCTCAGAGGAATAAGCGCTTCCCTGGCAAGCGCAAGGGCCTGAGTTCAATCCCCGGTTCCGCAGGAAAAAAAAAAAAAGTAGAAAAAGACATACCCAAGGAATTTGGGGGAGAGGAAGGCAACAGTAAGGGAGTCATTGATGTAATCAAAGAGAGTGCTTTCAAGCTTTAGAGTTCATAGGAAAAGGGATATGTTTCACAAGTAAACTCAGCCATGAACAACAAGCTTTAAAGTTTTTATCATCCTTCAAGTTTTTAGAGAGATTATTTTTCAAGTTACAGACATGATTAATATGATTAATTGTTCAATTATTTTGTTTTCATCAAATGTATAATATCAGAAGGAAACACTTATATTAAGGAAATAACTGTCTTTTCCCATATTAAAATGTCTCGCCTATTTTAAAAATCTGATAAAAGTCAGTAACCAAATATTACAGGAAACAGTAAAGGGTTGGCTGGGAATCACAGCAAAAGTCAGTGTGTTAGAACAATACTCGCGAGCTAAGTAAATGATGCTTGCTTCCTGATAGTTATAAAAACACAACGTCGTAGAGATTTTAGTGGCCAAGAGTGCACTGCTCTAAGAGCGTTGCAGCAGTTTTCTCCATGAATGGGAAGCAGCATGTCTGTAAAACACCAATTAAAATTTTCTTTTACTGTGGTAATAGACATAATGAAATTTCCCGTTGGGGTTACTTGTAAAGGCGCAGTTGCCTAGAGCTAAGCGCTGGTACACTGGCAGGCACCTGGCACCTCTCTCACCTCTCACACTTTCATGGTTTCATTCTGAAGCTCTCTTCCCATTGAGCAATTCATTTTCATGCTTCCCTTTCCCCCAGCCCCTGGCAACGACCATTCTTGGTTCTGTTTCTGGATCAGTCTACTCTAGATGCCCCTGCAGCTAGAATTATATGGCATTTGTTCTTCTCTATCTGGCCTGCCTTGCGCTCGGCATACCGACTGTATTTGTACTGTGTATCAGAACTGCAGTTCGCTTTAAGGCTCGATAATCTATTTTATGATATAGTGCATCCTGCTTACCTGTTTATCTGTGGATGGGCAGTGGAGCTGTTTTGGCTGTTGTGACTAATGCTGCTGTGACCATTAGTTTGCAGTGTTTAAGTCCCTGTTTTCAATATTTTTGAGTCCCCACGAATGCATTTGCTAGATCCAGTGGTACTTCTGGAATTCATGTCTCACGGATCCACTGCAGTGCTTTCCACAGAGCAGCACCATGCTGCAGTCCCACCCGCGGTGCACGGGGGTCCAGGTGCCCCATATCTTTCCCAATCCTTATTTTCTAATTTTTTAGAAGCACTTTGTAGTGTTTCATATAACCACTTTGTATTTGACTACATAAATTCCATTGTTCTAAAGTTATTTCATAATAAATTTCAAAGTCTGTCATAGTTCTCTGTGCTCTTCTTTGCGCTGAACACTTCTGTTAATGAAGAAATTTGGGATGTCTCCATGCATTTCCTTTCCCTAATGTAGAATTCAGGGTATATAACAGGACTTTCCTCCCAAGCTGAAAACTTGCCCTGTGTCTTTGTTTCCTTCCCTAAGGGAAAATTTAATTCTTTGTCACTGTATACGATTTTCTTGGTTCTCTCCTATTTCTTATTTACAAACTGAACCACACTAATGTTACTGATCTATAGAATAATTTATTTATCAGAGTCTAGAAGATTTTTGAAACTTAAGGAGTTTTAGTTTTTTATATTTTGTTTGACATTTATGTCAATTTTGAATATTAACCTGTACATGTATTGGTAGTAAAGACTGTACTGATGTCATGGTGATTATTTTATTGTTGTTTTATTAACAAATGGTAATTAGGCTTTTTTTAAAAAAAAAATTTTATGTGTTTGGTACAGGGTCTCACTACCCAACTTGGACTTACAATGATCTTCCTGTTTCAGCCTCCCCGGGAGGCTGGGATTACAGGTGTGCACCACCATGCCTGGTCTTGGTGGCTGCTTGGCATTCGCAGGGTGGGGTGGCGCAGTATGTGGTTCCTGAGATTGAACCTGGGTCCCTGTGCTTGACAGGCGGGGTTTAGACCACTGAGCTATCTCTATGGCCCTGTGTAGGTTTTTTTGTTTTTGGCTTTATGGCACATCTGTTCCTACATTGTGCAGAACTATTAGTTGGGAACATGGTTGAAAGTGCCACAATGCCATTTGAAATGTTTTAGTGACTCTTTTAAATGAATTTCTAGGGAAGCAATGTCAGATGCCTTGAATTTACAAAAAGAAGAGATATGGCATGAAATGATACATTCAAAAGCATATTGTCAGAAGAAAGTGTGGCATATTTGAATAGCATAAGTGGTTTGGCGTATGCAAGGCCAGTATGCAAACACAAATCATGCAGTAATGGCAAGAGGGATAGGATAGATCATGATACAACTTGGTGCTATTTTTAGTCCTGCAGAGGTGGAGAGGTACAGAAGGACAAGGAAAGTGGCATAGTGTACTTTGCTCTTAGAAGCCTGGTGGCAGTATAGAGAGTGAAGTCTGAGCAGTGGATGGAAAATTAGATGACTGTTATCATAGCCTAAGAATGAAAAAGTGAGAGCACCAACTGAGGCGGTCCCCATGTTGAGAAAGATGATTTGAGAGGTAACAGCCATGTATGAGCAGGGGAATGAGCTTGCTGCCCTTTGTGAGAAGGAGAGAAAAAGAGAAAGCAGCGATGGCCATGGTTAGGGGTTGCATAACTAGGTGCTGCGTTTACCAAAGTGTGGGCTCTAGGAAGAAGGAACAGGCTGAGGCTTTGTTGATTTCATTATTTTAGAAATAGGTTTTATTGAGAAGCCAAGAGCATAAATGTAGAAGTCAAATATTTATTTGATAAATATCAGCACATGTGGGAATTGAAAGCCACATAATGGACAAAATAATTCAGAGTAACTGGAGATTATAAGGGAAAAAAATAGATGGTGTATGGAAGCTGGGCTTTCCTAAGGAAGAGAGGTGAGGTGGAGATGGAAGCAGCAACTGCAGGTAGCCATAAAAGAACACCAAGGAGATAGTCAGCCGGGAAGATCAGCAGTGTGGAGTGCAGGGGAGTGTGGCCACGCACAAAGCAGCAGCACTGGCGTGCGCCAGTGTGATGAAGAGCCAGCAGTGTGCAGCGAGGCAGGCTTGGAAGAGTACTAGCAACAGGAGCCAGGTCGAAGTGGAGCTGCAGACTTTAGAAAGACTTGTTGTGACTTGTACATGCTGCAGCTAAAGGAAAGCTAAAATGTGAATGTTAAGTGGCTGTGGCGAAGGACATTGAGGTATTCTTCGTGCATTTCTGCACAAGTATTCCCAAAGAAAGTTGAAAAATACAAGATTATAGTAGAGTTAAAAGGAATTGAAAAGGGAAAAGACAGTTTTGTTAAAATCATGTTCTGAATAACGAGTTTTTGCCTAAAGGAAAAGTGAAGTGCTTAGTTTTGGTTTTGTGTTTTTTAGTTTTCCTGAAATGGGAATTTTTGAATATTTATATTGCAGGAGGCAAAGAACTGATAGAAGAGAAAGATGTGAAGAGC